TTATGGTAATAAATACTCTTTACACAAATAAAACGCGTAAAGTGTTTCATCTGAACGCACCTAATGTCCCAATTTTTTATGAAGTGTGGCCACTTTACGAGGAAGAGTCTTAATGACGTCATGACACGCGTTCACATTAACTAGCTCCCACGTTATCTTCAGTGCCTTTTCCTCTCCATTTTGTGCGCAAAAATAACTCAAGGAAAAGCCTTAAAGCCTCCTTGTCGATATATTTCCTGGTAATTTGTGCGGTCTTCTGACTTAATTGGTACTATGACGTTTATTGGTGCGCACAAATTACATATAAACTTTTTTAATTAGATTTATTAACAGAAGATTAACTACCATGAGAGTATCGTGTACTGGATTCAGAATGCGACTCCCATCCCTGAGGTAGTAGGTTCGATCCCCGGCTATCGAATGGACTTTCTGTATATGTGGGCATATAACACTCACTGTGAAGGAAAATCAGTTATGTGTTTATGTGATGAAATTAATTTAAAATAATTAATTTTGTTGAGGGAGTATGCGAAGTTAGCGATAAATTGCCTATAGAAAATTAGCCGCAAATACCTGTAATTAATTTCTGTATAGTTAATTTGCTGATATAAGTTGTATATGTTTATTCAAACAATTGTATGTCATTATTGTGAACAATTTACAGTTTATTTACTTAATTATAAATACTTTTTACGATTGATTTATTTTAACAAGCTTATAGGCTTTGACTTATAGGCAAACGCAACAAACATTAAGAGAAAAAGACATCAATTCATATTGATTTCTAATGAATTGAAAGAGAAGGTTGCCAGGTGTAAACAGTGCAGCCTCATAACAAGGTATATCTGTCTTGCTCAAATTAGCAAGAACAGAAAAGAGTTTGAAATGTTTCAAAAATTTGGGTTTATTTTTTGGTAACTTTTATCTAAGCAGTGAAAGGCATTGGACGGCATGTGTCGAATGCCTACGACAGATCACCTACTTGTCTATGGAATACAAATGATCAAAGTAACGGATGCAAAGTCAAGACCCATTTATGGTTGTAGCGCCACTGGATTATTATTATTCATAATAAAGTATTATGTATTTGTAGTATAAATTCATTATGGCACATGGGCATTGGGCACGTCTTGTTTCTGGTCACGCCATCCAAGTACATATAGTCCTCTCCGTTCTCAGGTCTTTACCGCACCCATTCCCTGAACACCAGTCGGTCTCTCTTACCATACCCAAGTGTTAAATGAGGGAACTTCTTTATTTTCTTCTTGTGCTTATGCTTGTTCTTATACTTTTACTTGTGGTCTTCTCCACGGAGACAAGCGAAGAGACTATCGGGGAGTAGTTTCCATATTTTGACGCTGCAGCTCCTTGGTCTACTTTTTTGTCTTCGCCGCTACACTTTCTATTTCAATTTGTTATTCACAAAAAAACATTAATTAATAGCACAGTTTGTCACAAACATAAAAACGCTTACAAAATGATTTTAACATAAAACATAACATTTATTACTAATGAAACGCACACACATATTGGCCGCGTTAATCATTGCAAATTTTAAATACATATTTTATTAATCTTTCAAATCCTGTCAAATATTCCGTTTTGTAATATTAATTCGCTTTACAAAAATAAGCTTTGAAATGCAAATGAAAACCCTTATTAAAACAAGCCATCGAATTTCTAAAGGCCCGAAATTCAACGTTTTGATTCAAAATCAACAACCATGGCCTTTCGATAAATTGAACTTTATTTCAGTGCAATAGAATTGATTTTGCTGCAATCAATTGATGACCCAGTGATAATTACGTGGCCTGCAAAATAATTATTTTATGAACGCCACAGGTATGGGAAATGTAGTGAATAAATACCAAATTTACATGGCAAATTTAACCAATTAATTTATTAACAAAAATACTACACTACAATACAATAATAGTACTGAGCCAGTACGATAAAGAAGAAATAAACGTGTGGCACTCGGGGACTACCGCTGTAAAGCTATTTATTGCATAGAATTTTTTATCAACTTATGCAATTAAAATTACTTATTTATGCAGTATTTTTTTTTCTTTGACATTAATAATTCATTCTCTAACGCACCTGCGCTACGTCACCGATCACACCAGACCGATGTGAGACGCAGTATGCGTTCTGTCCCGCTCTAACGCGTATTAGCCGCACCTATATTACGTCATCATGTGTTAGGTTTATTTTCGTTACGAAATTTCTTGATTCGGTCGCCGCGCTCAAAGCCCGCGATAAAATCTATGCAATAGCTTAATATATATATATATAATACTAAATACATAATATACATATAATCGCTACTGTGAACTCACCCTGCGAACATATAAAGATGTCGATAGTGTCGGAGACGCCATTCAGTAGAACGTCTTTATTATCCGAAGACCTGTGCAATAGACTGGTTCTGGCCCTTGGTATCGCAAACAACATAGACCTATACCGTCGTACTCGCGTTCTTGGAGAACACTTGGGTGGCTCACACTACCCCCCGCAATACGAATTTTAGTATATTAAAAGCTCAAACAAATGGAACGTTTGGTTGACTAATCTACGTCACTATAGTTCGTATATCTGCTACGCCAGTTAAGACTTTATATACGCGAGCACACATTTTTACATGTGCGATCTTTGAGATCATAAATAAAAAAGGCATTATCATCATCGAGGGACCTAATCTAAGATATGAGTTTTACTTTTTCATTATCATGCACTATGCATTGTAAATAAAAAAATTTGATTAAGCAATATTTATGACAATTTGGACCACTGTTAGTGAACAGTAATCATACTGTGGGCCGCAGAAGCCTGAAGGGCGTAAAATCGATGCCTAGATTAAATATTCATATTTGCGCATTCCATGTTTATGTAAGGAGTAATATTACAGATCTAATAACGTTTCTGAATCATCAAAATATAATTTATTCATGTTTACGTAACTTACTTCAAAACTTCAGTAAACAATAGTTCTAAAATTAAATTCGCCAGTTCTCAAATCAAGGTAGTATGGACGAGAAGAACTGGCAATGAGATCTCCGTCACTCTTAAATCGGCATTTTTTTAGAAAATGTTTGTTAGCATTTCCACCATTACATGATGCTCCTCATGACATGTTGAAGCAATATAAGAAAAACCCGAATGTTCCACCTTAAAATATATAAAAAAGAAATAGGAGCACGCACTAACATTACTGTGGTAACTTCATAGATTCTTTCAACTTTTGACAGCATTTTTTCAGTTATTCTTTTTTCGTCAGTTCTTTTTGTCTGTACTACAAGGGAGTTTTGAGACCTAACACAAAATGTAAAAATTACGTTCATAAATGTACCTACATGTTTAGTTATTTTTTTTTCTACAATGTATTTATTAATTTTATTACATTCTTAAATTACACAAATACTTGTATTATTTTTCGATCAAAAGCAGTCTACGACGTAATCACTTTCTGGGATAGTATTAGGATTAGACAAGCGAAGACATACTGGCACCGTGGGTCATCGTCATGTCGACTAATCTGTGACCGTTTTGTGTCACGTGACTGACTTATACTTATACTTTTTTGATAAATCAATGATCATTTATTCGATAGCTTTTGGGAATGCTGCAATTCAAGCATTCCATTACTAAATGAATTCATTTCAAGCTGTCAGGCCTGTTGGCCTTGAGGGCCTTGACAGCTTAGCTTGGGCTGTTTTGGTGAGTGTAGCTGTTAGCGACTAGTGCAAGGGCGTCTCCCGCGAGACTCGGACTTTGGCTTGGGCCGTTGCGGGGGGTTCAATCACCTGAAGGGCAGGACGGAAGCTCACTGGAGTGAGCGAAGTACGAAGTAAAGCCTTAGGCGGTGAAGGCGGTTTTTTACTTAATCTGATTTTAATATCGCTTTACCGCGCGAGTGGCTTTTAATTTTTCATTGACTGTTTTACACCATAACGCCTTATTTGTTATATAGATGACATTACAACTTTATTTTTCCTATGGTCAAATAAGCCATTACAATACTAAGACAATTCGTACCATACCTTATCCAACTTATGGTAAAGCGAAGGCCAGTTTTAACTAACTAAGCCTACCAATTTACTCCAGTTCCATAAAAATGCCACAATACGTATAGATTTGGTTGATATCAGGATTACTGTAAAAAGTTTTCGTGGAAAATTCGCCATTTGATCGTAACAAGCAATACATAAACATTGGCCATGAATACAAATCGTTTTTTCTCTTCATTGATGTTTTTTTATTGAAATTGGAAAATAAATGAATTCAAATGTGTTTATCTCTCTCACTTTAGTCGGTTGCTCATGTTTGAGCGTCGTGGTCAGCAAGGAAACATCTGGAGCGGACTATCTGTTCCACTGGTTTTCGTGCGCCTCTCTTATGTTACACTTATGGTACAGTTTTGAGGACGATGAGTCTTTCACGTGATAGGACCATCAGCTTGGTGAACGGCCACGTGATCTTTTGCCTTCTCTGTTACCAACTACGACCAGTTTCTTCAAGCTCTCAATTGCCTCTGCGCATTGTATAGCTAAAATAAGATTAAGAGCGACCTGCGACTTATTCGCTGTCGGCATATGGTAGACGGGCGAGTTCGTATGCGCAGTTGGGTCAGGATCGATGTATTGGCATTCACCTCCAGCACCACTTTATTGCTAATATCATTACACACTTTTACACGCTAATTTAATTTTCCGAAACATTTAAAATAATAAATACAACAACACACGAATATTCCAACTACGTCTTCGATGGCTACAGTAAATTGCATTGAACATTTCAAGTAAACAAAATTGATTTATAGCTTTACTAGGATTTTTCTAACTTTATCACAATAAGAAATATTTACGTTATTTATATGTAGCAGTGTAAGCTTAGAAGCGATTCTCAATCCTGAAGTCGTACGTTCATAGCTCAGCTGTGAATGGTAATAAAAAGAAAATCTTCAGTCATCTCATACTTGAATTCTCCGCGAAGACAACAAAATGAATGCTACTTATTCAGAGCTTAATATTTTCGGAGGTGGGCTGATCAATCTACGTGCTTTATTAAGCGCCTATCAGGTAATCTGTAACAGGCGAATAAGTACATATTTTCAAATAAGTAATTATTAAGCTTAATTTATAATTATTATTTATTATTCTCTACGCATTATAATAAAAATCATATTTTTTGCCGTAGACGGTTTAAATATTATCATTTATGGACGAGAATTTATTAGCATCAAGTTTATATTGTGTAGGTTCTATTTGAAAAACACTTTTCTTGAATAATTTCCAATAGAAAAGATATCCTTTGAATTTGCTTTAAAGGATCAAGATGGCGGTCGCTAGGCGCCAGCGGTTGCTAGGCAACGCGGCCTCCGTTACCTAGTTACCTAGCAACGGAACATCCGTTGCTATAAACGTCGTCCCACGATGGGTGGCGAAAATATTTGCGTTCAACCTTCAGAGTTCTTATTCAAACAGTTGCTATTAACAGGCATACTTGAGGATTACAATACTAAGGAAAACTTCTAATATTTTAAGTAACCTTTTAGAAAAGCTTTAAAAGCTACATCGTTAAAATGTTTTCTGCATTTATACGAAGACACTTAGTTCTTTATAATTAAGTAAATCTGATATTCATTATGTTTAACAAAGGGGTAACTTCGTTAGTATGGTATTAATTTCGAAAACTATTAAACCTACTTCGAAACTCATATACATCACACTTCGAAAAAAAAAAGTATTCATTATAACAATGATTTTTGAACTCTTGTAAAAAATACATGGGATAGGTATATACATGGGATAGCTGGAAACAGCTCTTCAATAACGAACTGAATAGTTAATTCCATAACAAAATTGACATTTTTTCGATTACATTTTTCTTTGGCGCATGAGGGAATTTTTTTTACGGAACGTCACGAAGTTGTGCAGCGTTTTTGTCGAAGAAAAGGGAGAGAGCGATTGAGACCGATTGAGAGAGAGAGAGTGAGAAGGGTAAATTACCTTAAAGAAATTATATTTTTAAAATTAAAATTTCATATAGAGAATTTATGAAATATTATTATTTTATATTTTATGCCAAATAATTTATTGATATCTCAAATGACGAATTGTAAACTAAAATGCCACGTGTTTACTATAGAAGAAATAAATTTAAAAAAATTAAATGTATAATTTGATTAATTTACGACACTTTTAATATTTTCATGACAATTAAATTCATTAAATTCCTAACATATCTTCCTTTTTCCCTCCCTCTTAGTCTCGGAAATCTATAGTTTTAGATTTGTATAAACATGAACAAGACTTAAAAATTAGTTTGCCAAAGAAGTTTTACTTCTGACATGTGTACTTTGTACGCACGCACTTTTTTTTAAACAATAAGCATTACGCGAGAACGAGTGTGTGGGTGGATAAGTAAGTGTAGTGTGTAACTACAGGGTAGGTCTCAGTATCATCTCAAACTCTGCGTAAGGTGTATTCAGAAGCAATTCCTTGAACCGTTTTTAGTGGGCGGTGAGCGGGTGGATATTGCGTCTGGCGAAGTCGGTACTGCCTGACCGACGACAACTTCCCTATTTTTTTTAGATACCTACGATCAAACTTACTTTTCACCATAGACATTTATTACTAACAAAAACACAAAAAATAAAAATAATCAAAGAAAAAAAAATATCATAAGTGATATTACAAAAAAAAAACCCTTTTCCCATTCGGTTCGTTTCAAGTGTGTAATGCGTGTGTGCTGTGGCTGTAATTGGCCATGGCTCAGCATTATGCTAAAAATGAAAGAAAAGAAATGAAAATAAAATAATATTAGGAAACGAAAGATATATTTTCCTATGCTGCAATGACGGTACATGCTTGAAGATTGACGTATAATACCAGATACTAACGTATTAAAAAAAATGATATTTCCAAATCTGACGTTTGATACAAAGTTTTACATCAACATAGCGTATTGTATGTCATTCGTCGGAGTCATATATATCTTTGTTATTATTCATAGTTTTGATTTACTATTCAAACAAGCATAAACATTATACATATAGCATTTTAGTATAATTTTAATACTTTGCATTTGAATGTCTCGTTTATCGAGCGTCATACAATTAATAAACTGTTCGTATTTAAACTGTGGCACGAGGCTGAGTGGGCCGTAAGCCCTAAGGGGAGCTCCACAAATAGATTCTACTTTCTAGGAATGAATATTAACAGTATCTGTTTACTTCAGTACATAATGAATAGAGTTTATTTGTTTTGAGATATTTACTTTAATGAATATTGCCTTTATTGTCGATGCTTCGATAGAAATAATGGTATTATATCGGATGAAACTTGGTATAGAGGTCGATGGTCTGGACTGTCTAGAAATTTGAAATGAAAGAAACATTGGTGCACAGCCGAAGATCGAAGCTACGACCTCAGGGATGAGAGTCCACGCTTAAGCTAACTGTCATTATTTCTTATAAAATCTGATAAAAGCCATGAGGCTGATTGCAGATCAGCCACAGAGAGAAAAAAAAAAGCTACTACACTGCTCTCATATATTTATTTTCATCTGACGGTGGAATATATAATACAATAGATAATGCATATAACATTCATTTCCAACACACAAATGTACAGTATTTATTATATTACGAGTTTTTTTTCCTACAATAAAGTTCATAAAAAAGACTGCGACTTTACATGAATTACACTCTAGCCTGCCCAATAATTATGGCTAATAAGTTATATGATGTTGACTTAATATTCTACAATTCTTATAAATACTAAACTAAGGTTCATTAGTGTTCTATAATGTTTTGACACTATTAGATACTTGGTTTAGTTCTCTTTAGGCGTCTTTGATTAATTAAAAGTTTGATCCCTGTGGCAGTGTACCTTTAATGCAGCATTTCCTCGCTTTCTTGAGATACTTTGTCGTAAAGCATCAGCTCTTAGGTCACCGGTACGAACTATCAGGCGCCAACTTAAATCTCTTATTAGAGCCTGTGCACTTGAACCCCACGGCCCAAGAGTCTCTATACTCCAAAGGGAATAAAATTAAAGTTTGAAGAAATTTTTATATATTATATTATAATTCAGCTATAGTTTTTAATTGCTGTGTGAACTTTGGTAGAACAATATAACCTTACGTCTCAAAAGGCTGTTTAAGCCTCGAATAGCAGATAATATTAGTAATAATTATAAATCTAAAAGTAATTGCTAGTTAATGATTTTTATAAGGTTTAATTACCTATATGATCGATTTTATTTCAAAGTAACAACACTGCGTGGGTGCACACGTGTATAACGTTTAATGGAAAATGATATCCAATTATATTTATAAGAGTCTGTTCAAAGGTTCATCCGTTTAATATAATCATACAATATATATCATACGCATAAGTTCTTTTGTTTTAAAATATATGACAATTACGGTGAACATACAAGTATTAAAATTTATTACCTAGTGGAAAGTGTTCAGAGGAGTTGTTCGGATTAATACCTGTAGCTGAGTTTCTTCAGACGTCGAGACAGAATACGAAATACTACCCGTATCACCTCGACATCCGTCGTTCCACAACTGAGCGTTTTAAAAGGCAGTTTTTGCCGGTCTTGTTGAAGAGATATTGCACCTACAATGTGTTTTGTTTCCTTTCCCTTATTTGAAATTTAATTAATTTCAGGACATCGACTATGAAGGTTTCAAGTGGTTTCTGGACACCTTTCTCGAAGTATCCACGCCTGATGAACTATCAAGGTGAGTTGGCAATATCAAATACGTAAGAAGTAAAAGTATTTAATTCCAAAAAAGGAAAACACATAAATTAGACCTCACATAGACTCAATAGAAGTAATGTATAAGTTTTAGAACTATCAGTCTCTTACGCAATTTTATGAAGTTAGGTATACTTCTTTTGGCGCGTTAGGGAAAAATGATGAGAGTAAATTTTTACGATGCGAGCTCACACTGACACAAAAAACCGACACCCTAAAGTTAGCATAGTCAACATTTTAAAATAAAAAATGTAAATTTCTTTAATTATGTAGAAATAATTGTTTTGTGATATTTAAATAAACTTTATTTAACTAGATAATGCGTTATAATAAAACTTTTAATGTATTAAATACCTTTTTTCTATTGGTAGTGTAGTTTTTTCTAAAAAGATTTTTATCTTGTTACGCCAAAGAAGTATAACTTCTAACGCGTGTACATAAGTACACACACATGTTTTTTTTATTTTTTTTTTACAGAATAAAACCTTTTATTTCAGATACTTAAACACATTTATATTTCTATCATCTCATTATGTGTACTTGTGCCCTTTTTTGGCCTCACCCAAATCCCGCCATTCCTGTCTGCACTCTGCCACCCTCTGCCATGTACCATCTGCTGTTTCCTTAATTTGATCTATCCACCTTCTAAATTGTCTTACTCTTTTGCGTTGGGCACCAGTTAAGTACTTTCTTGCTCCACTTCTCTGTTCCTCTTCCCATGTCCCCGCCCATTTCCTTTTAAGTTTATTTAGTTTTATTGTAACATCTGCTATTACATAACATTTAATTACAGAATAATAAAATCTAGATCATACTATATTACATTTTAAAACTACAGTGTATTAATGCTGCTAAATCGCGCGACAAATTCATATAAAATAATTCTACGTATATTTTATGTTGCTTAACGCCAATTTAAAAGGTCGGATGGGCAATTTACTTGCCTCGGTATCAATTACCTCGACGTTTTCTCACTGGACAGCTCGGGTCTGTACGACATGCTCAACTCGTTCTTTTAAAACATCTCAAAACAAAATTTCAGACATTTGTTTCTCTCGTTCGTACGCCGTGACAAGCGGCCAGCGTTACGCGAAATGGCGGCCGCGAGCTCCACTGCCGCCTGCGCTGCTGTCACCGCACATGGCGATCATCAGGTAATGATAAATGCGTTTACACGTATTCATTTGTTTAACACAGTAAAAATTGTTTATTAAAATGTATTTTATAATATAAATGTAATGGCGATACAACGCGCAGAGGCGATGAGAACTTGGGGAATCTAATCGTGGGTCGGATCGCTCAAGTGACTGATGAGTTTTGAGGACGATGAGTGAAGGAAGACTCCATCGTCCTCAAAAGAGAAACAAGACCACAAAAAATAAAATAAGAGAGGCGTTGACAGACACCGGTGGAAACAGATAGTCCGCTACACACTCTTGCTGACCACGACGCTGAGACATGAGCTACCGACTGAAGAGAGAGAAAATGTACTTTAGTATCGAAAAAATAATTTAAAAAATTAGTAAGTAGTGTTTGCTTTTTCTAGGGAAAGTTAAGTCTAGCTTCGAAGATCCATGGTCTGGCAGAAAGATTGCAGCAGCTAGGCAAAAGCTCCAGTGACTCTGTGGATGGAGATAAGGGGTCTAGGAGTAGAACTGGTAACTAAACACAATTCAAGTGATTTAAAAATACTTTATATTGTTATTGAGATTTGCATAGTTTAATATTGTTTGTTGTATACACGAGTACCTATTTCATTAAAAACACTTCTTTGACGGATATTAACACGAATTTATTATAATACTTACAAATAAAAATAAATAAACTCAGTGTGTTGAGTGCTTTACAGCAATCGTTGTCAGTGAAAGAGTTTCTTTCTCTGTTTTAAGTATTTTGCAGACTAGTTTGTTAATTAAATCTCATGCCATTTAGTATAAAAAATTTCTGTCATAACAAAATTTCACTTCTTTAGTGATTCCCGACTATTTTAGATAATAATAAAAAATCTTTATTTACAGGCAGCGTTCACCCAATGTTCTCAGTAACAACCCATCCGTCCTACTCCGCTCACGAACTGGGCGTCGGCAGGAATGAGACCAGTCCTTCTCATAGTCAGATGTCCAGGAACTCCAGCAGGAAGAGCAGCAACTCGCTACGAGTCAACCAGTCTACTAAGATCGAAGGTATCGTCCACAAGACTCTTGTTATAGGGCAATCAGAATAGACCTGGAAGATGGGCGATGCAACCTTAAGATTTATTTTTAGCGCGTTCTATGTAATTTTTTCCTTAAGTGTAAATAAATAAATAACAAACCGAATATAGTAGGTATTTCAAGTGTAACATTCTGCATAAACCTAAAGTCTGTGTTGTGTTAAATAATCACTTAAAAATATTATATACTGAATTCCTTTTTAAGCTGAAGAAAAAACATACATGAAATGAAATGAAATGAAATAGTTTATTCTTGCAAGTAGGACTATATAAATCACTTTTACAATGTCTTCCTAAACTAGATGAAGTCGACATTTCCTAACTGACTGCCCTGAGAAGAAATGTCGAAACAAACTCGGGGGTCTTAGTCTCTTTTATAGTCCAGGATCATGTCAATGTCAAACACCTGGGATCCAATAATATCCAAATAAAAATCTTAAAATAAACAATCCGCGAAAATAGAGGACACCGAGAGCCATTTCTGCCAAAACCCTCCATCTTTCGTGAAGCAGTCATTTTACGATATGGCATTCTGATAAGGAGGGAGCTTGTAGTTTATTGTTTATCAGAATGCCATATCGTAAAATGACTGCTTCACGACTGATTTGAGCGCGAACGCCGCTGCGAAAACCGCTGTGAGAGTTCGAAAAGTGAGTTACAGAATCGCAGGGCAGTTCACGTCCTGTGGCGTGACTCTGCAAATTCGCTAGTCCGCTTTGAGAATGCATTCACCGTGATGGAAGACATCTTGACGGTGTAATGTTCCGTACATAAATATATATATAAATCCGCACTAATTTTTTTTTTTTTTTTTTAGACAATTCACACCAATTGACCGAGTCCCATGCTAAGCTGGTGAAGCTTGTGTTATGGGTACTAGGCAACGGATATACATACATATTATAGATAGATAAACATATAAATACATATTTAAACACCCAAGACCTAAGCACAACACCAAATGCTCATCACATCGCTGTTCGTCTCAGCCGGGGATCGAACCCGGGACCCATGGATTCGCAGTCAGGGGTACTAACCACTAGACCAATGAGTCGTCCAAACATTATAATTTACTGCAATTATAATATTACAAATACAACTTTATTAAATAATAAATAAATAGTGGTTTGTCAACAGCATCTCCAGACTAACGCGACACGCACCACGTTATTCCGTTTATTCACATAATCAAACAGCGTCTCGCCTTTCATTTTTGTTTTTCAGAAGCATGTCAAGATTACATTGTGTTACACTACAAAGAATATTTGTAACACTAACCTTCATATTCCAGACTTTAAGCTCCTAATGCGTCGGTCATCGACTGTGGAAGTTCACACCGCTCGGGTTTCACTTAAGGATATCGTGTGTTACTTATCCTTGCTGGAAGCTGGTAGGCCTGAAGATAAACTGGAATGTAAGTTATATTTCTTCGTACCCTACCCTCTGGCCAGATTTATCCTTGTGCTGTGGAAAGAACTAGCTAGATTTAAATACAAATGGAGGAAATTTTTATTCATATTAACTGGTTTTAACTTAATTTCTTACATTGCAAATTTTTATAGCAATTACATTATTTAATATTAATTCTTATATAAGTGTCAATAATATATAACAATAAAACCATACAATAATAATAATTACATTTTTATTTTTTTACACTGTCAATTAAAAACATCTAAAGATCAAAGTAATCTATTTAATCACTTTTTATTAACCACAGCTTCTATAGTAGCTAGTTTATTATATTATTAGATATAATAATAGTTATATTCCTTATGAGTGGAAAATGAGATGAACTAAATATACGGACAAGAAGACACACGATTCGACGCAAATAAATCTTATTACCAAATACTGGGTGTTGCTATTAAATAAATTAAAAAATTGTGCGTGTACTAGGTGTACACACGTAAGAAGTGAAACTTCTTTATGACCTTATTTTTCAAAAAATGATCTACTATATGCAACTTTACAGAAATTCGTTAAATTAGATAAAGTTTAACAAAAGGCTTTTATTATCATAGACATGAATTCAAATATGTAATGCAATTATTACATTTTACCTTATTACTACTAAGATTATTACATAATTTCATTAATTGCATTTACTTGAAGTAATCCGACTAATTTCAAGGTTTTCTCGCGAGATTTGCCATTTCAAAACTTTCAATAAAATATCGGATTCAACCTGCGATCGATCAAGCAATTTGTCGTTGGTATTTAAAAAAAGCAACATGGCGCGTAACCGAAAAACGTGTCGATTTTTTACATTGCTACAAAATTTCTCCCATACGTCGATAAAGAATTTTCACTTCAAAAATTTAGTCATGACAGAAATATAGTTGTGGCAAAATTTATTTAACGTTAGTTGTTAACAAGGGAGCCTGGTTGGTAACTAGATTACAATTCCGTGGTACTGTTTGTTTAAATAAATTTTTTTAAGAAAAAGATGCTGAGAGAATATTAGAATTTGACCGTTTCATTCTACGCATCAGATTGAATTGAGTATGTTACACACTATGTTAGTATGTGTTAAATTAATTATTTTAGTCATGTTTCGCCTATACGACACGGACGGCAACGGTGTATTGGACACAAATGAAATGGACTGCATCGTGAACCAAATGATGACGGTCGCCGAGTACCTTGGTTGGGAGACATCTGAATTACGACCCGTAAGTTATAAGAACACTCTTCAGAAGACGGAATTCATAATAATATGTTGCGTTTATTTGTAGTATTAATCTTGTGTTTGCAATAGTCTTAACAAGATTAAATTTGTTTTCTTGATTAAGGGTAAGTATTTTTATGTAAAGGTAAATACATTTTTATTTATCGTGAACATAAATTGCATTTACTAGATAATGTTAAGCCCTCAAATTAATCTCTTCTTCTCTTCTCTTTCCTAGATTCTCCAAGACATGATGGTAGAAATTGACTATGATGCCGATGGCACTGTCTCTCTTGATGAGTGGAAACGCGGAGGGTAAATGTTTCTTATAATAATTAGTATGTGAGAAATGTGAGAAAACCGTCACCTCTCAAACGGATGTCAAACATAAAAGGCTAATCTTACTTACTTATCTAGCAATTATTAAACAAAAAAAAGGGTGCGTGTACTTATGTACGCGCGTAAGAAGTTATACTTCTTTGGCATTATTAAAAACAGTTTTTGATTGCATACAAATAATTAATTACAATTAAATAATCAAAGACTAAGAAGAGGAAAAGGAGTCATTTGCATTTGAAAAATTAAATAAATAAATATTTATTATTATTCTCTTACATTAAGTGTAAAATAAATTATTATATTTTTTTTAAATTATGTCCAATGCCGTAGCATCTTCCGTGGGCAACTTCATTCTGTTAATTTTGTGTCACGGTGCGCGCGCATCGTAAAATTTCATTCTCATCAATTTTTCATAACGCGCCTAAAGAAGTATAACTTCAACAAGTGCAGAAATCTGAGGCCCATAATTATGCTCTTTTATTTCAGAATGACTACAATCCCGCTACTAGTACTCCTCGGTTTGGACACGAATGTCAAAGAGGATGGAGAACACGCGTGGAGGCTTAAGCATTTCAATCGCCCTGCTTATTGTAATCTGTGTTTGAACCTCCTGGTAGGGCTTGGAAAGAAAGGGCTGTGTTGTATTTGTGAGTATAACTTAGCTTAACTTAACTTAACAAAGCTTAACGAATAGTCAATAGTACTACAAAGAGCCAATATACTTATTTTTTGAATAGCTCAAAAAACTATAACTATCTTTTCAATAATGCATACAGTTTAAAGTATGTTAATTATACAATTGGTTGCACAAGAAAAAAAGTACATTTTCAAAATATTTAAAAATATATTTTTGACATGTCAACGTCTAATAAATCGATGAACGCCGGCTGCACGAAAAAGCATGACTCATTGTCCCATTACGCTCATTGTCCCGTTACGCTGATTGTACGCTTGCATCTATCTCTCTTCCATTCTAAAAATAATGCAAATTATCGTCCGTAAACCAACTTACAACAACAGACAACCATTTTTTTATTATATAAAGAGCACTGAAGTGATGTGGCTGTGTGGCGAGTATTGGAGAATAGCAACAGCGATTCAGCGCCAATCCTTTTAACGAGAAAATATTTACGACTGAAGAAATCACATCATACGAAATAAAGCATTTTCAAGTACTTTACTGTTCCCATAAAGTATAGAGTACAATTACCAATGGGTTTCCAATGTAATAATCTTGTAATAACATTTTACATCAGTCCAGTCATATCACCAGCCAAACAATACAACATATTTTTTATTTGCTCAAAAATTTACGTAGTTTCCTCTTCGGAGGTCAATAGAACAGAACATAATAACCACCAGAACCTTGGGCCACTCAGTCCTCAGTGGTTTCTCAGCATAGTCGAGGATCATTCTATCTTGTTCCATCCTCCATTTGTTCTCTATGAGAGATTATAATACATTTTACAGTTTGTAAATTCACCGTCCACGAGCGTTGCGTTCAGCGTGCGCCTGCGTCGTGTATCGCAACGTATTGTAAAGCGAGACGAGCGCCCTCTACGCTCGCGCATCACTGGATTGAAGGTATGTCTAGCAGAATTAATTATCACTAATGTTGGCTGAGATATTCTAATGTGTGTATGTATGTTTTCCAGGAAATTGTCACGGAAAATGTGCGCGTTGCCGGAAAAAGATTAAAGGCTACAATGGCATTACTGGACTCCACTGTCGCTGGTGTCACATTACTGTGAGTTAATCATTATTTTATTGAACAGGGGTAAACGGGCCGTAGGTAGGCCTAATGTTTTCAGTTTTTGCCGCGCACCACCATTATGTGGAACCAGCTGCCCACTGAAGTATTTCCGAACCAATTTGACTTAGGGTCATTCAAGAAAAGAACGTACCAATTCTTAAAAGGCCGCCACCGCACTCGCGAGCTCTCTGGCATTGTATCTATGGGCGGCGGTATCTCTTAACATCAGCCCCCTGTTCTATAAAAAAAAGTTTATATATTTGCTTATCAGTATTCCTACATCTACTTATTATATATATGTTACAGTTAACACTAGTTTTTAGTTAAAACTCGTTTTCCCTAGTTAAAAATAGTTTTTACAAAATGCCTTTGTCAAAACTAGAAATAACAAGTGAAAACTATAATGTACCACTGATATAATTCATTTTCTGATAAAACTAGTTGTCACTCCGAGCTTTAGTTACAACTAGCACTAGAGAAACTAATTTGAATTTTGGGATTGAAAACAAGATAAAGTTTTAAAAATATTTATTAAAAAGATCTAGGGTATAGAAACATAGTACCGTACCTAGTAAAAAAAACTTACACTAAAGGAACATTTTAGGGAACATCAGCATAAAGTAGTTGCCAAGGTGACAACATTAATTAAAAGTAAATAAAATAATCAAACAAATCAACAGAATACAACCATAAAATTTAAAAAAGGAACATTATAATAATATTTTTAAGGGATATTGGTAAACATACAATAAAAAAATAATCAAACAACCTTAAAATTAAAAACGTAATATAGTCGGAGTGGTTCTTCAAAAGGATGATCAGGGTTTTCACAAGATTGGAACGAAATATGGAATGCTCGACAAATTATATTGCAGGTATGTACCTACCTATGTGTTGCTTAATTGTTTTATCATATAATTATATTGCCTTTAGGTAAAAGCTAACTATTTAAATATTGCTTTTCAGGTCAGAATTCGACAAGTGCAAAGAAAAATTTTTGCATGAAGAAGACGTTCCGAATACAAATTTACCTTTGAGAACTGTTGCTAAGGAAGCATCCATAGGAACAGGCCTGGGATTTATGCGCTGCGTACGTAAGAAAGGATGTATGTCAAAAAGGTGTCTCTGCAAGAAAAATGGCTACCTTTGTAATTCAAAATGCCACGATAGTTTGTCTTGCAATAACAAGTAGATCGTCATCTTTTTTAATTTTAAGGTTAAGGTTAAAATGTCCCTTAAAAGTATTATTATAATGTTCCTTTTTTAAATTTTATGGTTGTATTCTGTTGATTTGTTTGATTATTTTATTTACTTTTAATTAATGTTGTCACCTTGGCAACTACTTTATGCTGATGTTCCCTAAAATGTTCCTTTAGTGTAAGTTTTTTTTACTAGGTACGGTACTATGTTTCTATACCCTAGATCTTTTTAATAAATATTTTTAAAACTTTATCTTGTTTTCAATCCCAAAATTCAAATTAGTTTCTCTAGTGCTAGTTGTAACTAAAGCTCGGAGTGACAACTAGTTTTATCAGAAAATGAATTATATCAGTGGTACATTATAGTTTTCACTTGTTATTTCTAGTTTTGACAAAGGCATTTTGTAAAAACTATTTTTAACTAGGGAAAACGAGTTTTAACTAAAAACTAGTGTTAACTGTAACATATACAATATCTAAACAATTACATTATCCACAAAAGCCAAAAACGGAATACACGTTGTATTGCATTGATCATTATAATATGATCAAAATAAAAGAGAAATAACAAAGCGATTCTCTCTAATAAAGAATACCAGAGTTATTTATATTGTTTTTTAAGCATTTTTAGTTGTATTAAAAATATCTATTTTCTGGTAATATGTGTTATAATCTGAAGGTATACGATACATGACTGAGTTATGTAAATAGTTTGTATTAGACCGAGGAATTTGATATACTTGGAAAACTGAACTGAAGATAACTGTTTTACTCTTAGCTAGACGTAGAACGCTCATGCGCATATGCCCATAACTTTATATTCTGTTTCCTACTCCGAACTTCACTCGAAAGTTGACGTAAATCGAAATACATATTAATAGCTAACAGTTCAATATCTAATGATGTAAATGTTATCTTACAATCAGCTCCACAATCGCTGTGTGGGCAGTGCTGGTGGAGCGTGTACCCTGGGTCGTCACGCGAAACACATCCTTCCCCCCACCGCCATACGACCCTTGGTCTTGGATCGACAGCGCTCTTTGCCTCATAAGCCGCAGCCGGAACAGGTGACTTGCTTTTCAAATTACATACTACGAAGTTTTATTAACCATTTACTTTGTGATAATATTAAAAGGATGTTTAATCCTGACAATTTATTTTATTACCGAGAGAACTGTATCTAGTGTTTAACGATTCGATTTCATATGAAACAGAGATTGTTCCGGGTAAGACATAGAAGGCGGATTTTCAGTGGGTCGGGCCCATGGTCTAATGGAAGGTCACGGGGTTTCAAAGAAATAAATCAAAAAATATCTGATATTAAAATAAAGTTATGAGCAAAACAATTTCCGTTGAACATAAAGGATTGAAATTATGAATATATTTCAGCAAACTCTTCCTATCTCCATCTCCCTGCCGATCTCAATCTCCGCGGGGGCAGAGGAGAAGATAGAGCAAAAGAAGGAGCACCGAGCTCCACCGATCTCCTTCCAGATAACACCTCCAGAGGGAACTTGTCCCCTTCTCGTATTCATCAACCCCAAAAGTGGGGGGAGACAAGGATCTAGAGTGCTGAGAAAGCTCCAGTACATCTTGAACCCGCGTCAGGTTCATGATATTGCCAAGGGTGGTCCTATGCAAGGTTGGTTGAATTAAGTGGTTCATATAACTTGGTTCTTTAGTGTTTCCCAACCATTGCTGTGCCGTGCCCCATTAGCCTTTCTAAAATTACTATGCCCCCTATGTAACATACATAATTTTTAATATTAAAAGATTTACTTGTTCACTTGAGAAACTAAAATCATAGTTTTTAGGAAGAAATTACTAAAACGAACGAAACACCGTAAGAAAATTTTCAAAAAATTCATGAAAAATTTAAATTACAAATAATTTTCAAATAGCCCCTCCTAACAATCAAATTACCCCCTTTGAGGTGTGGGCCCCACGTCGGAAAACACTGCTTTAGAGTAAAGGTTAAAGATTTCAATTAAATAAGGTATAAATGTCTATAATTATATTAATACTACCTTTTTGGGGTCTCTGTATACAGTGGAGGTTTTAATGTTGTATTTCTAAAGAGTTTTTTTTATAATATATTGTCTATAATATGAAAAGACCAGTTGACTTAAAATTTATTGGATATAATAGAGATAATTCTTATTTGCTACGCGTCATCTCATCTGTTCACAAAATTATACACTTTTAAATTATTTCCTGTAAAGTATTAAGATGATACAGTCGAACTATAATGACGTAAGTGTTGCCAACATAAAAACGACGGGTTGCACTCCGGGAGTGCCGGCAGAAGTGAAAACTTGAATATAAACGTTGTGGAATTTTGATATTTTGGAATGGTAAGGGAATAATTTTGCACGAATTGCAATCATCACTATAAAAGTACTATTATTTATGTGGTAGAATACAATATTTTTTTATTGCGCTATCCTACACAAACATAACAATTTATATTACATTAAATACGCCGCGCCAGCTGTCTACTCTCCATCCGTCTTACGAATTTTCGATTAGGTCACGTGTCCTGACGAGAGTTTAAATTTTTTAATTTTTTAATAATAATAGTACTTTAGCACTGCAGCGAATTTAGCAGCGCTACATCGACGACTCTCTTTACCCACAGACCAGATCTAATCCCTCTTCATATTTTTATTTATGTATCAGGCTTAAATAACCCATTGAAAACCCCTTATAATTTGTGTTTTTTAAACTTTCTAAAATCTTATTTGTTAATGAGATATTTTCTAATACTTTGTTGATATGTTGTTATGAATATTGTTATAGGCCTACAAATGTTCAAAGATGTCAAGAACTATAGAGTCATATGTTGTGGTGGTGATGGTACTGTCGGCTGGGTTTTGGAAACTATGGGTAAGACAAATATGTATTTACAATTATGTGGTTATTTTCTGTATAATTATTAGATCGAATATGTATTTAAAAATAGCTTTAATCAAATGTATACCACTTTATATGTATGTAAAATTTTTAAACGTAAAATGCGAAACGAATTACATCACATATACAAGGAACCGTCAAACGGGGTGAATAGATGGGCTTTCGAACTTTGGTACCGATTTTTGTAATGTTGCGGAATTGAAAGCCATTTTTTTAATTACGCATTTATTGAGTCCTAAACTAAACTTTTGAAATATATTCGTTTCCATTAGGATAAGTATGTAGTTTCTGAAAAAAAACACAAAATATACGTGATTTCTATTTTCCTCCGATCAGGGGACAATAGACACACACGAGGGGTGATTAGAAAAATTTCTTAGGGCTGCGCCATCGCAGTTTACCTGAATTTTGTTTATGTAAGGAAAAAACAAACAAATGAAACTCAATAATGTATTTCAGATACTACGCCGCGGCCATACCTAGAACACAACGAACATTATTATAATTCTTACCTCATCAATTACAGCACAATATATTTATTATAACACTGACTGTAATAAGAAGATATTTATTGACTTCTATCGCCAAAATTCTCTAAATTACGAAAGTTCAAACTCACTTGCACTTTAACGACTTTTTTTTGGTCAACTTTGAAATTTAGTTTTGACGTTTTTAGCGAAGTTGCCATAAATAAAATGTTGCCAGACCAAAGAAAATAAAACTCCCAAATGACTAAAGATACGGTTTTGTTTACTGGTATCACTCAGTTATATGAATTAAGGTTTAAAATGATGCCAAGTTTTTTCTCTATTCCCCCCGTGAGTTCTATTCACCCCGTTTAACGGAACATGATATAATAACAATGATAATATATTCATAATAATTTGCTTGTGTGTGTGTAATGTATAAGTGTGTCTGTGCGTTTTGAGGTAGCATTCAAACTTTAAATGTGGCTTCAGCGTGCGACTCTCATACCTGAGGTCGTAGGTTCGATCCGCGGCTGTGCACCAATGGGCTTCTTTTCTATGTGCGCATTTAACTTTCGCTCGAATGGTAAAGTAAAAGATCGTGAGAAAACCTTGCCTTAGATCCAAAAACGCCAGTCGTGTGTCAGGCACAGGATACTGATCACCTACTTGCCTATTAGACTGACAAATGATCATGAAACAAATATAGAAATCTGAGTCCCAGACCTTAAAAGGTTGTAGCGTAGCGATATATATATATATATAAGTTTGCAACACAGTGAGAGCCTGTACCGGCCTCTGTAATTAGTGTAATTGCACTCTGTTAACAAAAGCACTCTTACATCTCTTTCTTTCAAATTAGGTTTTCCCTATGATAGAAGAGACTGGGGACTTAAGTTAGTGTTATATATAGTTCCGATTTATTATCAACCAGTTGTTTTATTTGATTTTTAGACAAGATTGAAATGGAGATGCAACCCGCAGTCGGGGTAATACCACTAGGCACTGGCAACGATCTGGCTCGTTGTTTGCGGTGGGGTGGGGGGTAAGAAACAATATATTCTGTTCTACTCAGAGTTTATTATCACTTAAGTAATATTTAATAAATAATAACCATGTTCAAGCTTAATCAATTAGAAGCTCAAGAAGAAAAAATACCATTAATAATATAGTATATGTTTGATTATTAATTTTGTTTTTTCTATTAAAAACATATCTTGTTAGTTTAAAAATGTATTTATTTTAAATATTCTAGATACGAAGGCGAATCAATACACAAGATATTGGATAAAATAGCTCGGGCAAGCACCATCATGATGGACCGGTGGCAGATACATGTCGAGAATATGACGCATGACGTATGTATTATTTAAAATATTAACTCCATGTACTCCAATGTGGCGCCGAGTTTGCGCTTTATAAAGATCCAAGCTTTGGGCCGGAGTCAAATGAAATCAAATAAATTTAAATCGTATGTTACAGTAAAACTGCTTGCTAAGGCCTATTATAATACAAATAAATATTTAAACGATCCTAGTGCTTGGATAAGAATTGCTCCAGTATAAAGAGGTAACGCGACTGAATCTCTCGAGTCTCGGATGATTGGATGAATTGAATTGTTGAATTGAAAGTTGAATTGAAAATTGAATGAATTGAATTAAAATCATATCAAATCAATATCATTCATTAAGAGATTAAAAGGTTCTTCTTAATCAAAATTACTTTTCATTCAGTCAGTTGATAAAAAATATCGAAATATGTTATACATAAATTGTTCTCTTTCTTAATAAATTCGAACCATTTCACTGTACTTTATTTCTTTGTCAATTATTTATACAAAATCATTCGATTTTCGATAAATATCGAACATGGATGTTGGGCTTTCGATTATGATATCGATGTCAAAATCGATGTTTTTCTAATATCGATGTATTTTCAGGATATTAACTGTCGCGCCCAGTTAACCTGTTAACAAAGATATGTATTTCAGTGCGAATTGGTGCAAATGCCTGACTCCGCGCCCCATCCCACTTCAGTGCCATATAACATCATTAATAATTACTTTTCTATTGGAGTAGTAAGTATTTGCATTATTTAGCATAGTGTTAGTACTTAAGTGTCTCCTAAATGCACGACCTAGGATCCCCAACTGTGCATCAATGAATTATTTGTATGTAATTAAGTACGTTTTCGACAAACGGGATTCGATTTTGAAACTTACCTTATTAGAACTTTTTTAATGAATCCATACAAAAATTTGTTTGTTAATATTTCTTATTAGTTGTGTTAGTATAAGTTATAAGAATTTAAGTTAATTTTTTTTGTGATCTAGTATTGTATGACCCTTTTAGGGTAAAAGCCTTCCACATGTATCCATTTCACTTCTTTATCTCTGATTTCTCAATGAATTTCATCTAATTGTCATGTTTTCATGATATTACGTTGAAATTATATAATTTTATTTTTGTGACATGGAGCGCCTTTTTTATTTTTATTTTTGTCCTGTTCTTCGTTTTTCGTATGTGTTACCTTAGTTACTCTGAAGCCAAGACTCATAATGCCAATTATTTTGATTAATATTTTTTTAGAACGAATATATAAAAAAATAAGCGAGCTTCAATCTATTTAGGTCTGGGCTTCAGATTTATGTATCTGTTTTATGATAATTTGTCAATCAAATAGGCAAATGGGTGATAAGCCTCCTGTGCCTGACGCACACTGTCGACTTTTTGTGTCTAAAGTTTACTCACGATGTCTTCCTTCACCGTTTAAGCGAATGTTAATTGCATAGAGAGATTGGTGCACAGCCGGGGATCGAACCTACGACCTTAAGGATGCTCTGACCCCTTAGATTGCACGCTGAATGAATACTTTTTTAAAAAGAAAAAAATACTTTCAGGACGCAGCAATTTGCGTAAAGTTCCACACGGAGCGTGAAAGGAATCCCGACAAGTTCAGTTCTCGGATGAAAAATAAATTGTGGTACTTTGAGTTTGCGACGTCTGAGCAATTCGCCGCCAGCTGCAAGAATTTACACGAGAATATAGATATCGTTGTAAGTTATCATCATATGTGTTAATGTTTTAAAATCGCAGAATTTTAAAATAATTAAAAAATATATGAATATTTTATGTATTGGCTTTCGACATAATGCTTGCGCTCTCCGTCACATCCAGATACCAGAGATTTTTTTTAATACTATCGATTTTACTTTAATTCAATTTATGAATTCAGTGTGACGGGTCATCACTGGAACTAAACAAGGGACCGGCATTGCAAGGTGTGGCATTACTAAATATCCCGTACGCACACGGTGGCTCAAATCTATGGGGCGCCAGTGGGGCTCATAGGAGAGGGCGATTTCCTAATGCGCAACAAGGTATATTCTGTTTTTAATCTATTTCTTTTACTTTGAATATCGAACGTCAAAACGATTATGCATTTTGTGCACAGCATATCAAAACTTAATGTCAAGTTTAAGTAAATTCGAAAGTTTGCATTATTTATTTGTGCGCAGTTTCTATTTATGACATATTTTATTACTAATCTGTGAAAGCGCCTGCATATTTGGCGCTAATAGTTTTTATTAATATTTTATTAGTTCGCAATAAGAAACTGTGAATAACCTGTGTTAAACTCGTTTTTTTTAATTATTTAATTATATTGCATAATCTACTATATTCTATAGTTTAAATTTCAAAAAAGACATTAGTACTGACTTAATTTTATGCGATTTATGATATTTTCAGATATTGGCGATAAGCTTATTGAAGTTATAGGATTAGAAAACTGTCTGCATATGGGACAAGTGCGGACGGGTAATATTTTTTTATTATAATATTAATGTAAAGAAATGTGTACTAAAATGTTCAGTAAATATTAAAACTAGTGTGAAACCTTAAACATGTCAACTTGCTATTACAATTTTTATTATAAAGAAGGTATGTTATAAATTATCTATATTATTGTATGTTTGGTTTATATTTTACCTTGTTAATAAACTATGTAACTGAATTATAAAACCAGAAGTACAACTTCTGGTTGTACTTCTTCTTCGTCTAATTAGATTTTTAAACAATTTTTACCTTTTTGTACCTCTTTCATACCTTTTATACCTCTTTTTTACCTTTATGTACCTCTTGCTTACCTTTTTGTGTCTCCTTTTTAACTTTTTCTATTTAATAATTTGTAGGTCTTCGTGCATCTGGTCGTCGATTAGCGCAATGCAGCTCCATCACCATCACCACGAAGAAGACCTTCCCCATGCAGATTGATGGAGAACCTTGGATGCAGACTCCTAGCAAGGTACCTTCGTTGGGGCACAATTGTTTGTGTATATTTCTAATTTATTTCTAGTAATCTAGACTGAGGCTTGAAGCGTATATTTAGAATTGTTTATGGTAGTTGTGTTGGCCTAGTGTTTTTAGCGTGCGACTCTCACTCATATCTGAGGTGGTAGGTTCGTTCCTCGGCTGTGCACTAATGTCTATGTGCGGTTTAACATTCTTTGGAACGGTGAATGAAAGCATTGTAAGGAAACCGGCTTGCCTCAGACACAAAAAGGCAACAGGAGGTACAGGAGGCCGATCACCTACTTGCCTATTAAATTGATAAATCATGAAACAGATACATAAATTGTTTATAAATAACGAAAAAATTGCTCGGTCCCTTGAAATTCGTTACAAAGAGTTTACACTGTATACATTAAATGCTACTAATTTTACATTTACTGCCAGTTCTCAAGTTTATTAAGATGTCATGTGGAACATGGTGTAATGGTTGCAGCTCCTTACAAACGTTGTGGAAAACAAAAACGTTTGCGATTAAAAAGAGTGGCGGAGAGTTTATTGCCCTTGTACCCTATGTATTTTGCCTATTGTACCCTTGAGAACCGATCGTTCCGTTCTACGATTTGAGAACTGGCAGAAAATGGAAAATTAGAAGCATTTAATGTATATTTCTTTTTGACGTTCAATAAGTGTACATTGTGTTACCTATATGAACAAATGATTTTTGACTTTGACTATACTAGTTCATGATTTTGCAGATAACTATAACACACAAGAACCAAGTTCCTATGCTGATGGGACCAGCTCCGGAGAAGGGCAGGGGATTCTTCAAACTGTTCACGCATTGTTAATTAATTCCTAATGTGCGAAAGAGATGAATATTGTTTTATTAATTTATAAAAAAATCCGTGAATTAAACTCAAAAGCTTTGAATCAGCTCATGACGATTCTGATGAATGTGTTTCTGAGTAACTTGAAACATGATAGCGCAGGAAAACTTATTTTAATGGATTCTGAAATTCAAAAACCAAAATTACCTCTAAAACATGCTTTTGATCAAGTTTATCATAAAAAAACAAGTCCCCGGGCGGCCTAACGCATATACACTCGCGAGCAAACAAATCGACTCAAGCGCTACCTCTGCATTCAAAGATTGTTTTAAGTGAAAGTATACAACATTTTAATAAAAATGATATGTCATTTGAAAGCTTTAACCTTCAGCTTTTATGAGATGTCATCATTATTAATATCCATGTATCCATTTTTTATTATTGGTGTCTGAACTTAAATGGGGGAAAAAATGGGATTTTGGGTAAAGGAGTTGCGTTCAGAATTGACAAATAAAACACGTTTTTTTTTTTAATGTTTATAACATTTATTGGTTCACTAATTGGTATTGCCCCCCTAGCCCTAATTACAGCCCGTATTCGGTTCTTCATCGATCTTCTTCATTTTTTGACGGTGTCTTGAGGAATACCTTCCCACCGTTCAAGGCTCGAATGGGCTGGATTTCTTGCTCGTACCCTTTGTTTGAGCTCATCCCATAAATGCTCGACGGGATTTATATCTGGACTTAGCGCAGGTCAGTCCATTGTGCGCAAATCGACTTCTCGAAGAAACTGCTGAGTAACGCGCGCTGTGTGGCATCGAGAATTGTCATGCATTAGGATGAAGTCATCGTCAACAAATCCTGCGTAGGGCACAACATTTTCCAGGAGAACATTTGTGATGTACCCATTAGCTGTCAGTCCTGCTCTTCGGCCTACTCCAGGCACGAATACGAGCTGGGAAAACCCTCCAACGAGATACCAGCCCACATCATGCAAGAACTGCCACCATAGGGAACGATTTCTGCGAATCAGCATTAGGAAAATCGCTCTCCCGGACGCCTGTAGACCCGGCCTCTCCTGTCACTGCCATGCAGACACATTCTGCACTCGTCACTCAACAGGGTCGACCGCCATTGCCCAATGTTCCAGTTAAGATGCTTGCGAGTGTATATCTTTTCCTAGAAATCTAGAACTACCCGACATATTTGGACATTTATTTTTCAGAACTAAAAATTAAAAAGGGTTACGTCATATTGTGTTTTCGTTTATTATCCGGAATCTTTGGTTTCCACCCTTCATGCTGGTTTTGCTGAGATTCCATTTATTCTGACTTGAAATCGCGGGTTTTTTTAATTTATATACTTAAAAAAGTGAACTTTTCCTCTACGCAAAATCTGACCAAGTTACTATATAAAATGTCATATATTTTCCGGAATTTTATTTTTCTACCGTTTAACGGGGTTTGCTAAGCTGTTTTCCTTACAGAAATATAAATGAAATATTTGTAAAAAAATATTGTACAGTAACAATATTTTTTGATTATTATTTGTAGAAGATAGTTTTGGTGATTTTAAACAAAATTTAACCAACACTGGTTGGTTACAATACTTTGGTCCAAACACAAAAGTTACAAGTATAAGAGCTTCTCAAAGTTCTTTTATGGGCGAGAATGTGAAGCAAAAGACGAAACCATGCCGTTCGATTATGATTGGTCTACTCTCGACAGCATCTCTGACGCATTAACACCCGTCACGATACGTCCGTTTGACGTAACGATTCTTGCGTCTTTTGTTTTACAATCTCACCACCCTAACCCCTATTTAGACTATGTCCATTGAAAGGACTAAAACAAATAACGTCACAGTTATATGAAGCAAAATGTCTCAAAGAAATTTAACAATACATTCAATATTTAGGCCATTACTATAACGTCGTCCATTTTATATACTATTCATATATACACTGGACGAAACATATTTTATAGAAAACATAATATGTAGCAATTTATTTTCAGCAAATGTAATTTTAATGGCCTCATATTATAAAGACATATATTATGTCTAGTCTACACTTAACTTTAGGATTCGACTGATTATTTTGCATTTTTTAAATTATATATTGCAAAACACACTCATAATGTATACTCTATATTTTACACCAACAAATAATACCATGAGTTTGACAAAGTATTAAATTGAATAGAAAAATACTTTATTAATGTGTATGAGAAATCTTAGTTCTGTGCGTTTTCATTCATGTTATGAAGAAGTGTGTCCAATACAACATTTAAATTTATTAAATTTAAATTTAATACTATGTTAATGTCATGACAGACTTACAAATTATTTTAGAAAACCGATTGATAAAGCTTTTTGTAAATATAGTGCCAATAACAACGTCCCAATCTTTTGAAAGTCCGTGAATCTTTGATCTTGAAAAATGTAAAGTTGTTTTATTCTTTAAATACAATTAATAAATGTTAAATCTGACCTTACAAAATCACTGCAATGACGTCACACCTTAAAACGCGCTAACAAAGTTATTCCGGCCGCTAAGGATATATACAACTTCTCCATCTGAGTCACTTTTTTCCTACTTCGCTTCTAGTGAGCTTCCGGCCTGCTTTTCAGGCGATTGACCATCCCACGATGGCCCAAGCCGAGGTCCGAGTCTCGCAGGAGACGCTTGCGCCAGGCCGTAAGGGCCCCAAATGCCTACACCGAGATCCAATTCAAAATAGTCTGGCCTAAGAGCCGGCCAGTCATTGGTTATATTGGTCGAGGTTCCTTGCTTTAGTTCGTAGAAACAGTAGACCATCCTTCCTCCAGAACTCTTAATTTTTATTCCCTAGCTCTATCGCAACGCAACGAAGTATTAAAAGATTAAATACTTAATCATCTTTGCGCGTACGAAGTAAGATTTTTCATACAAATATTGTGTTTAATATCTAATATATAAAATTCTCGTGTCGTTTTTTTGTGTCACCGATTTTCATAAAATTTTGTGTGCAGTATTGGGTATGTCTGAGAATCGGACAACATCTATTTTTCCTCCCCCTAAATGTTAAGGGTAGTCCACCCCTAATTTTTTTTTAAATTTTTATACACATCCACACAACCCCTAATTTTCACCCCCCTACGATCAACCGCTATTTTTTATTATAAATGATATCCATGGCAAAACGACGTTTGCCGGATCAGCTAGTTATTTTATACTTTTTTATAGTCACGGTACTGCAAAAGATAAAAAATGACGCTCACAGATATTTTTTTCACTTAATTTAAATTATGTTTTCAATAGATTCACGAGCTTTCAAAAAATAATTTTGAAATGTTTATATTTTATTATATGATGTTTATAACTATATTGGTAGTGTATCCGAATTAAATGTAATTAGAATTAAATGCTTGTTATGCGTAAGATTAAGCTTTCGTCCGCTAAATGTAAATGTTTTTTTGATCTCATTACACTTGAAAAGATAGTCATCTCAGAATGCAATTAGTTTTAGAATGTTCCACGCTTTGTCGTGTGATAAATATCGCTTTTACATTTAACAAAAAAATCTACGAATTACAAACGTTGTATTAATAATTATTAGTGTAATATAATAATTATAATTTGCAATAATATTACTTACCTAAATTACTATACAAAACTATTGTAAAAAAATCGTGTGTGTATTTATGTACACGCGTTAGAAGTTATACTTCTTTGGCGTAATAATTTTCTTTGAGCACTAGAGGGACGTTTCCCTCTTCGAATTGCATTTCCCTTGTCCATTTTAATGGACACTTCCAATCGTAACGATATAATATGTTCTAATCATGATATTTTACAATAAACACTATGTTTTTGGAACACATTGGAACGGGTTTTCTGGTATAGAAATCATTATTTTGGATTAATAAACACGACCCTGAAAAACACTACGCCATGACAGACAATGCAACTTGTCGATAAAACAGAGCAAGCGCTAACTAGCGGTCCAGACTGTTTTACCGATATTCAGAGTGTCCGTTTTTTGTGACGGTGTACGCGCGCATCGTAAAAATTTACTCATCATTTTTCCCTAACGCGCCAAAAGAAGTATAACTTCAAAAATGGGTCATTATTCACCGGTAAGCTATCACGCATAGCACAAGTGTGCGCATTCGGACAATCGCCGGTATAGTAATTAAAATTCTTTTGCTGCTACTCCCAACTCGTCTAAATCTAAGAGAGCATTTGTTCTCCCTCGAACATGCTGGACGCACTTCAGAAGAAAGGCACCCGCCATAGCCTTTACCGGTATGATCACCACATGGCCCGAGACGTAGTTGTGACAAAACCATTCTGATTCTATTGAAACATCTTAATTGCATTCAATATATTGCAAAATAATTATAGTTTGTAAGTTATTATTTAAGCAAACGGGTTTTGTTGTTAAGTTTATTATCGCTATAAATATTTAAGTGTGTTATTAATGTTAAAGATGTTTTAAATGTAAAATGTGAGAATACTCATTCATCGTTATTTATCTACATTGTTGAGTGTCAGCACTGTTCTTTATTTGTCCAAAGATAGGTTGTCAACTGGTATCCCAATTAATATTATACGAGTTGACACTATAATATCATGGAGCTTTATTAGTTCTTGAGTCGAGTGTAAGATGGCGCTACTTTAAAACGGTTTTAATGACTAGTATGTTACTTAAAAATCTAAATGGGCTATTTGATAGGGTTTTAAAAACTATTTCAGATTATTTTTAGTGAACATACAGAGACATTACATTTAGAGAACATAATTTCAAGAACCCGCCAAAACGCTTCCCTAGAGAAGATGGCGTCGCACAAATTTCTATGACGTACTAATAAATACTAAACAAACGTCAAGTTGTGTTAATTGTCATTATTAAATTACACAAATACGCATATATTATTATTTGATCTAAAACAGTCTCCGACGTTCTTGAATTTACAAGTAATTTTTCTCCATAACGCTTTTTAAATCTATGTTTTCTACACATTCTCAATAACACTTTA